CCCCCCCCCCCCCTCTGGCCCTGCGGGGGAGGGAGGGGGTCCGTCCCACCCACTCGATGCCCGCAGCACCAAGGGGGTCTGGCGTTAGGGTGCTGCGGGGGAGAAGCGTGGTCCGTCCCACGCCGTCGGTGCCCGCAACGCCAAGGGGGTCCGGCGTTCCGTGAACGCCGGACCCCCTACGTGCTGCGGGGGAGGAGGGGTTCCGTCCCTCCCCCTCGATGCCCGCAGCATTAAGGGGGTCCGTCCCACCCCCTCGGTGCTGCGGGGGAGGGAGGGGGTCCGTCCAACCCCCTCGATGCCCGCAGCACCAAGGGGGTCCGCCGTTCCCGGAACGCCGGACCCCCTGGGTGCTGCGGGGGAGGAGTGTGGTCCGTCCCACGCTGTCGGTGCCCGCAGCTCCAAGGGGGTCCGGCGTTCCCGGAACGCCAGACCCCCTTGGTGCTGCGGGGGAGGAGGGGTTCCGTCCCTTCCCCTCGATGCCCGCCGCACCAAGGGGGTCCGTCCCACCCCCTAGGTGCTGCGGGGGAGGGAGGGGGTGCGTCCCACCCCCTCGATGGCCGCAGCACCAAGGCGGTCCGGCGTTCGGACCCCCTGGGTGTTGCGGGGGAGGAGCGCGATCCGTCCCACGCCCTCGGTGCCCGCAGCGCCAAGGGGGTCCGGCGTTCCCGGAATGCCGGACCCCCTAGGTGCTGCGGGGGAGGAGGGGTTCTGTCCCACCCCCTCGATGCCCGCACCGGCAAGGGGGTCCGGCGTTCTGGGAACACCGGACCCCTTTGGTGCAGCGCGGGATGAAGGGGGTCCGTCCCACCCCCTTGATGCCCTTTCGTGCTGCGCGGGAGGAGGGGGTCCGCCCCGCCCCCTCGGTGGCCACGACACCTTCGTGCTGAGGGGGAGGAAGGGGGTCCGTCCCAACCCCTCGATGGCCACCGCACCTTGATGTTGTGAGCGAGGAATGGGGTTTGTTCCGCCCCCTCGAAGGCCACAGCACCAAGGGGTTCCGGCGTTCCCGGAACGCTGGACCCCCTTCATGATGTGGAGAGGGAGGGGTTCTGTCCTGCCACCTCTCTCTCTCTCTCTCTCTCTCTCTCTCTCTCTCTCACTCTCTCTCCCCCTGTCCCTCCCGTTCTTGGGAGTGAATCCTTCGTGATGTGGAGAGGGAGGGGTTCTGTCCTGCC